AGTGCAGACTGGTGCAACCACTATGAAAATCAGTAAGGAGATACTTCAAAGAACTAGGGCTGGAGGTCCCATTTGACCCAGTTATTCCCCTGCTGGGTATTTTCCCAAAAGAATTAGAAGAATCATACCACAAAGATATATGTGCACCCATGTTTATAGCGGCACAGTTTGTAATAGCTAAAGCTTGGAAACGGTCCAAGTGTCCATCAACTGGAAACTGGGTAAAGAAGATGTGTTATTTTTTATAAAATGAAGTACTACTCAGCCATAAAGAACGAGAAACTAGAGTCATTTATAGCTAAATGGATGCATATTGAGGCCATACTCTTAAGTGAAATAAATAGAACACACATGTGTAAATACCGAATAGTTTCTCTAGTGTGAGAAACTGAGAGTGTAAATAAGGATTAAAAGGATTAATAACTAATAATTGATACTTGGAAATAGGAAAAAGTCCAAAGGGGTAGGGGTGGTGGGAGGAGATGGAGAAAGGAAAGAATGGAAAGGAAAAATTATGAGAAAAGAAAAAAAAATTTAAACAAAGTCTGTGTAAATAGGGAAGGGTGGAGGGGTGAAGGGCGCACAGGTAATAGGGAAAAAATAAGAACCAAGGTACATCATGTACATGTACAAGCACCCAGTGATAAATGTAAATGTATTGTATACCTAAAATGTACCAAAAAAAGAATTTAAGCCCCCCCCCCAAAATGATAAATGTCCTGGGCGGTAGATGTGCCAATTACCCTGATGTGGTCACTATGCATTGTGTACATGTATTGAAATGTCACACATCGTGTGTGCCCTGTAAATATGCACAATTACTATGTGTCAGTTAAAACTAAAAAATATTTTAAGGAAAGAGAGCTTTGGGAAAGAGGATCAAAAAGGGCCATCTACATGATAAAATGACCCTGCTAAGCATCAAAGAGCAGACAGGCCCATGTTAGGAAACTCTAAGACAGAATCCTAGAATTACTGGGTTGGTGGCTGTATAGGCAGATGGCAGGGGTCAAGAAAGATGAAATATACAGCATGTAAATGTGATTTGCACATTTGGCATAGGAAATAGTTTTTAAATGAAGCTTGGGTTTTCAGGTTTTTTAAACTTGAATTTGGGTATCATATTAAATATGTCTAAAATCCTTCAGTTGGCTGTAGTAAAACAATGTTGGTAGCAGGAAGAGTGTAGGCCTTCTGAGGAAGCTGGGTAGGAACAGAGTGAAAATGTAAAACAAAAGAAAGATAAGATAAAGGAAATGTAATTACCAGAGAAAAAACAGAATCAGAAAGAACCTTAGACATGATCTCATTCAGTGGCTATTGTCTTTGGGGACAGGCGCGACAGAGGATTGAACCCAGGGCCTTCACACTGAGTTACACACCCAGATTTTTCTATTTTTAGTTTGAAACAGGGTCTCACTTAATCGCTAAATTGCCCAGGGTAGGCTCAAACTTGGAACCCTCCTGCCTCAGCCTCCCAGAATGCTGGGATTACAGGTATGAGCCAGCACATCTGGCTTCCGTGGCTTTATTTTATAGGTAAGAAGTCTGAGACCCAAAGGTCAGGATCAAGTCAAGCCACTGGTAATCAGTAGAAATCATGAAAATTGTGTGCAAATCTGAAATTGGAGGCAGAACATATATTAAGAGGCAGAACCAGAAAATTCAGAGCAGAAAGAAGGGGAAACAATGAGGAAAGCAGGAACAACTTGAACAGAAGGACAAGCAGCACAATTTAAGAAGGATGTAGAGGCCAGCCTGTTACATGTGATAAAAAGGTAAAGGAGCTTGAGATAAGAGAAAAGTCCGCTGGCTTCACAGTGTCTAATCATATCTACTAACTAGTAGGATGTACAAGAACTTAGGTATATAATTAACTTCTACAGAACATCCAGGAGGACAGCAGCAAGACAAGAGAATAAACTGGAGCATTCAGCAGGCCTTAGAAGAAAGAACAAGAAATTCCAAGTCCAACCATACCCACGTTGGATTTTAGCTCAGTCACTAGCTATGTAAAGTTGAGGGGTTTACTTAAACTCTGAGCCTCAAAGCTCATCTTTAAATGAGCCATTGATATATATCTGAGAGGGTAAGTGACAGAGTACATGAAAATATCAACAGTATCAGAGAGTGTTAGTTCTATGTGGGGCTAGGGCTGTAGATTGGGGTACAGCCCTTGCCTAGCACAGCGAAGGCCCTAGGTTCAATCCCTAGCAGCATAAAAAATTAAATTAAATTTTTAAAAGACCCACGCCTGAGCTCAAGTTGCATTTTCTTTAGTAATCCAAAGGCTATATGATCTGACCCCACACATACTTCATCATTGAAGTGATGGAGAAAATGAAGACAGAGATCAAGTAGGCTGCAGTGAATGAGAAACAGCCCAGGCACAGACCCTTGGGTTGTTACTGTTGGGTTTTCCAGAGAGTCATAAAAAGTAAAGGAAATGAAATTTCATGGACAAATCACCTGAGTAGCCCTTGATTTTACTGTATACTTTCCACAGGGAAGTAATTTTACTCTTCCTGAAGAACCAAATGGTGGCCCCTTTTCCTTAACTTTCTAAGGTTCAGCCCTGACCCCGTGGCATAGATGTTTTCATCTGGAATTTTTTTCTGCTAATACTGTATGCTAATTGCCTCTTCTGACAGATTCCCCAGGAAGCTAAATCAGAAAGCTAATCCCTTATAAAAGCCACCTTTTGCATTTACAGATTTGGATGTAGTAAACAAATAGATTATTTTACCCTTAGACTCACACCTTCCCCATTGTACAATGTTTTTCAAATCCTTGGGTTTTCTTTTTTGAAAACAAAGCATATAGAATCTCATATTTTTTTAAATAAGCATAATTTAATTTTACTTTCAGTTAATTGTTTTCTGTTTCTTGAATGTCAGCTCAGAAATCACAAGTGTATCAGCCTTCCATTGAATAAATAAATTAGCAAAAACTCTACCAATAAACACGTAAGGAGAGTTTTCATTGTGGACACCACAATGGCCCTGACCACAAGGTCCTGCATGCTCACCTTGCCATGGAACCAGATGCTTTCATTTCCCTCCGGGTCCACATCATCTGTTGCCAAGGTGAGGCAGACCAGCCTCCGTGTCAGCCCCTCGGCTTTAATCTGTTTCAGTGCCTGCTTTCCTATGAAGTCTGCTGGCTGCAGGAATCCAAGATAATGATGATGAATGAATGCTCAGATGCTGTGACAAGGTTAGAGATGCAAGCATTTAAATTTGTCTTTGCTATTTTCTCACCAATTACACATTAAATAAAAATACAGATTGGATCACAGGTCTAGACAAATATTTCTTAGTCCTCGCATGACAGTTCAGCCACCTACTCCTTGAGAATTCATTAGACTTTAGGGTAATAACTTGTGGTGACAATTTTACCAGAACTGCCTAGGCAGAGAAACATAAGGCCTTCTGACCTGTGGTGGTGGACTAGGAAAGTGACCCTCATGTCAGGAGGGTCTGCACAGGAGACCTAGCTGGACATTGCACCTGGACACTGGACACTGCTACTCAGTCTATTTTACCCGAAGGAAATACACTTTTCTGAAATGTGATGCTGAAACACTCCCCGCCCCCCTGCCCCACACACACACAGTGTTGTACTTTTCCTTCTTCTGTCCATGGAATGCATTTACCTAGTGGGTTGCATTCAGTAGGTCATTCAGGAAACTTTTTGGTTTTTTTAGGAAACATTTATTGAGCCCCAACTGTATGCAAAGCATCATGCTAGGCCCTGTGTGGGTTACACAATGAATCAGACATAGGCACTTTGGACAAACAGCTCATTCTTGAATACTGCATTTTTCAAGCCTTTTTGTTCTTCCATGAAATACATGACAGATGACATTACTATTCCTAATACACTTCCAAGGGCACTCATAGGGTTATTCCCAACACAGTGCAAGTGAGTTAGTGACATTGCTTTTCAGACAATCTTGAGTACATTTTTAGGTTTTACAAAAAAATGTAGGAATCAGGTAAACTCAAAGATTTTCCCATTATTAGTAATACACCTTACAACTAAGTAGGACAACTGATGAGCAGTGATTCTCAGTAGTGACATTCAGCTAATGAGGGACACAGTTCTACTCAACTCGAATGCCAAGGGACACTTAGTAAACAAGATAAACTGGAGAATGCCCAGGAGGGAGGTGCCCTCAGAGGAACAGTATTGTAAGACTTCTACATACGGAGCTCAGAAACACATTGCTTATCTTATGGGGCTAAAAGGGGATTTGTGATGCACAAAGCATATCCTGCTGAATGAGATTTAATTAGAGATTACAATAAAAACAAAATTCTTGAAACAGTTCTCATACATAGACTACTCTCTGAAAAAAGAAAAGAATGTACCATAAATTTTAATTCTTCATTGGCCATAAAAGGAAAGAAAATCATATTTCATGCCAAAGATGGTCCCCATGGCCAACATTTAGCATTTATGCACCCCTTTCACACCTGAACATTCAGGACTTCATACAGTAAGCCCCATGAGCTCCTAGCCAGGCAGCATGAGGTTCCTCACATGCCCTCTACCTAGCATCCCCAGTCCACTCCTTGATCAACTGAGAGCTGCCAGGATGAACTCACAGTGCACACAACTTTTATGAATATTGCAACTTCCAATTGCAGACCTGCACAGGAAGCTAAAGAAAGCTTGCATTAGCCACAGTTAAAATAATGTGAAAAATGAGTCCAGCTCTCCCTCCTTCCCGAATGTGACCCAGATGGTGAAAGCCAACTGTAAAGTTTTATTATGAAGCCAGAGCATGAAGACTTACAGAAGACTGGAACCAGTATTATTTAATACATGGGGATGGACAGGAAGAGCTCAATTTATCTGAATATAAAATAAAGATAAATTCATGATAAAAAGTCATAACAAACCAAAGTTCACCATAGCTTTTTAAAATATGTATATACGTTTATTTTCTTACATTAGCACATAAAATATAGAAATATTTACACATATAAAATATTAAAACTACCTTCAGAAATAAAGAAGACAACAATATTTTACAAAGAACACATTTTTGGAAATAGACACATTGAAAAAAAAGATTTAAGACAGATGACAAAAAATTTAAATTAACAGACTCCACAAGTTGATAGATGAGTTGGTATTAATTTGGTAAAGCAAATAAAATGTTCATAGGTAGTAAACCAGATTTACATTTAAGATGGTCTAGACAGGGCCAGGGATTTAGCTCAGTAGCCGCCGCACCTGCCTCAAAAGCGCAAGGTCCTGAGTTTGATCTCTGGTACTGCAAAAACAGCAACAACAAGACTGTCTAGACAAAATTACAGGGACTTTCTTTGCAATGAAATTGAGTCAATTTTATTTTACTCTCTAAATCACAAATCTTTGGTAACTGCTTCCCCTTTTGTATAAATATTTAAAACTTCTAACTTGTCTTGAGAATTTTAAGCATCTTCACAGCAAGTTGTAAATATTTTAAGGGGCTCTCTGCCTTCTATTTTTGGGAACAAAATTCCAGATATCACATTGATTTCAAAATTAAAAACAATTATTTTTACTTTTTAAAATAAAAACCTACCATTTTCTAATTAACCTCCATGATGATTTACAATTGATTTAGAGGTCACAATCTTCATAAATTCTCTTTGTTCTTTTTAGTATCAGGAAGAGGACTCATTTTATAACGGGGTTTCAGAAGCTTGCCATTCAAGCAGTCTTCAGTGCTGTGATAATCACATAGACAATGTGCACAGTAATCAAATCCACAACCTTTCATTCACAGGTTGTACATTGTGAATAGCAATCAAGTTTTTCTGGTAATTTACAGAGAATGCAGATTTTGAGGCTTTCATTCTTTTTCAAAGACTTGGCGACCTCAGAGAATTCACTGCGTCAACTATAAGTAGAACCTCTGACCACCTTTCTTGGGTGACTTGGCCTAAGCATCTTTTTCAGGAAGAGTCTGATTTTTGAACAGAAGCTAATGCAGTTCTTATCATAACATATTCTCTGTTTGAAGCCTGTGGTGAAAATGGTCTTTTCAGGAACTCTTTGCATGCTTTGCTTTACAACTGGCATGTCCCTTTATTGTCTTCTAGAATCTTCGCCAAGTAGTGCTCACCTTAGCCATATTGATCAAGTCCATCTCACTGAGCTGAGTGAAAATAGATGTTCAGAGATGTAGAGTTCCCTTCGAAAGAATTCATTGAGAATATCTATACAAATTCTAGGCCCATTTTCCCACCAATTACATTCTGTAGTCTAAAATTTCCACTGGATATAATTTCCACCAGTATTTCTTGATCTATTTTAGGATTTAGCTTGGCATTCTTTTTAAATATTGAACAAAATACTTTTTTGAAATGAAGAACTGGCAGGAAGTTTGTTTTGGGATATTGGTCTGGGCTTTGTGTACGTAGCAGTCAGGACCAGGGATTGCTTGTGAAATTTTCTCCAAGAGTGAGGCTGCCCTCTTCATGTGCACTGAGGCACTTTGTTAAATGAGGAAAAGCTGCTGTCTTCATAAATCCTATTGGTCTCTAGTTCTGTTTCATTTGAACTATTGTTTGTCCAATGTGTAGATTTTCCTTGTTATGCAAGGGCTTGCTTTTTGTTTCAAGTTCTCCAATCCAAGGCCTCACAATTGGTAACGTAAGGTATGATGACCTTTCATAGTCTTTCATGCAGTCTTTACAAGAAACTTCCAAATACACAGGACTATAGAAACCGGGTCTTCCAGTGTCATCAGGTTTTACCAGTTTAATTTCAGAACAAATATGGTTACAATTAACATCATATTTCATTTTGACATAAAGAGTGGAACTTTCTTCTTTATAATTGTCCAGGGGCGAGTGTGCCCGGCAATTGACATGTGACCCAGCTGCAGTGGCACCAGCTCATGCTGGTGGGTGGGTTTCTGTCTCAGGTGAAGGAATAGCACTATAACTAAAATATGTATATCTAAATACAAAAAGAACTCTATACCAATGACAAAATGTTTTGCTATCCATGGGGGTGCGGGTACTGGGCATTGAAGCCGAGGCTTTTGATACTGTGCTTTATCCCCACCCCTATTTATATTTTTAATTTTGACCCAGGATCTCACTAAGTCTCTAAATTGTCTGGATAGGGCTTAAAACTTAACGATCCTCTTGCCTCATCCTCCCAGAGTGCTGGGATTATAGATATGCACCATCACACCTAGATTTTTCTATCTTTTTAAAGGGAGATTTGTTTTAACAGATAGATAATAGATAAATGATGACAAAGGTGCTTTTTAGAGTCCCTGTCTCCTTCCCATCTCTACTTAGTTTATCTCCATTTCCTATCATCTATCCTTTATATTATTTAATAAAATACAACTGCTATAAATACTCTAAATGAAGAATATTCTTTTTAAAATTTTCCCTTGGTGGCTTGAACCTGTTTTGAATGACATTCATTACACAGTATTTTTGTACTCTGTAAAAGTACTTGAAAACATCCTGAAGGTTAATACTAATGGGATTTGATGGTGGTATTTTATAGCCCTGAGTTAGGAAGCAATCTTGCCAGTGGTATCACCCTGAGATGGGAATGAAAACAGTATGCTAACAAACAGCAGCAAGCCACCCTTTGTAGAGAATACTGAAAACATTGGTTTGGGCACAGGCAGGGCATGCGCCTGTCCACCCTGCACAGCCCTCCTTCCCGAGGGAGCCACACCTGACCTGGGGTGATTTAAGTGGGTGACAGCATTTCATCCTCATTTGACTTGGCTTCCCCCCAAGACTGTATATTGTACTTTACTATATCCTTATTAATTATAAAGGAGAAGAAAATGTGTCTGACGGTTATGCTATAATGAAAGCTGGGGCTTTCAGCATGACCCAAGAACAGAAATACATGGCTTTAATGAGTCATTGTCAAATTAACTGTATAAATAGCCATTAATGTCTTTGAAAAATGTATAAATTTGGGAGCACTGAGACTATAGCTTAAAATAGTGTTGGCTGGTGTTTTTTCATTTATTAATTTTAAATAGCACTAAGAGCCATTAAAAGAGCCACCTGCAACAGGAACTAAATGTAACATCCCTATACATGAAAACATTTAGATTTTCAGTGGGGAGTCATTGGTCATCTCTGATTAGCCCTACTACACGTGTATTACCTAGATGCCAGT